AGATCATTGATGCCATATGTGCCCAAAGATGACATTGTATGCCGTTAGGGCAATCAACCACTAGGAAGTTAGTGGTAATGGTAGCCGTGTAAGGGCCTGTACCAATAGTGAAAGGGTAAGTGTATGCTCCCTAAGGGTTGCACGATATCATTAGAGAAGCTTATCAGAGGGGAAATCGAGCGATCGAGCAAGTGTTCAGCTTACATTAAGTGCCCTGAAAGCTTCAGCAAACATGATATTGAACCGAAGCCCCTGTGTCTACCAGGATTCGTCGTAATTCAAAGTTGGCTATGTGAGCCTCCACGATCAATGGTCGTTGTGAGGGTAGATGATACCTCTTTCTTCCTCAGGGTAGAAACATATTAGATCCCAGTTAGGCTTTTGATACTTACCTCCCCTGATGTCTTCCACGTGAAACACTTGGTGGCTAGACCTTAAAGCTCGTTCACTATTTTTCATGACCCTGTTGGAAGATTTAGATATGCGTGTGCCACCACTTATGGAATATATTACATTCATCTGGCATTGGTTACGGTTACTTCTTGGAGGGTGAAGGAGGAATTGATCAATTTTTCCTCCACGTGCCAAAGCTTCAATATGATCACGAAGGGTGATACACTTCTCGCCGTCATGGCCGTTATGCTCGTGGTAGCAGCAAAACGTGTTCGTGTTCTTCGTGGGCTTGTAATCCGGGTGCCTCGGCTTTGGCTTCGGTATCAAGTGTGTTATGCTGGGGTAAATGGCCACGCATGTGGCATTCAAAAGTGTGTATGCCCCATACCTCAAGGTAGGGGATGTCCTGACGCGTGCTTAACTCACTGTGTTGACTGACTGGGGTCGGGGATTATCATGGCGATACCCTTGGTTATCGCGGTAATGTCCTTTACTCATTTTACTAAAATGAGACCGGTGAGGATGGAAATCTTTCCTTTTGCCCTGAGATTGATATGTCTGTTGACTTGGCAAAGTATTAAGTAAGGTAGGGGGAGGCACCGTTGCCGTTTGGAAGGTCGAGGTCTTCTCATTTGGTTGGATCTGGCTTCCACTCCCTACTTGCTAATAAAAGGTGGCTGTTAGGGGTTTCCCTTGATATGTCCTTGCCTCGGCGGAGGCATGGTTGTAAGCATGTGCCATCACCTCAGAGTAAGTCTTCCAAGTGTTGGCATTGATCATGTACTTGAAGAAACAATCACGTAGGCCTACCATGAAGGTCTTGAGGGCGGTCTTGTCATCTGCCTCAGCGCAGCGAGAATACTCATGGCTGAAGCGGCCACCATACATACGTAATGACTCATCCGGCTTCTGGTGAATAGTGTATAAGTCATCTGCAGAGTGCAAGCGATCGGTCTGGAAAATGTGTTGAGAAACAAACAGCTTCCTCAATTCCTTAAATTAGTCTACTGTCTCAGGTGGAAGACGACAATACCAGTTTAGAGCTCGGCCAAAGAGGATGGAGGGGAAGAGAAGACATCGTTCTTCATCAGTGTGCATCCGGTATGCCATGGTGGACTCAAAGAGGTTAAGGTATCAATCGGGTCCTCATTTCCAGTATAGAGTTGCAAGCCAAGCTTCTTCTTTGTCTTTGCTTAGAGGAGGTGTCGAGGATCCTCCTTGTAAGAAAGCCGGGCCTAGGTTGGTTCGAATCAGGTATCTCAACTTGTCGTTTGGCCTTCAACTTATTTACTTCCTTAAGGAGCTGTAGGACAAGAGGGTCCTGAGTGGAGTTATGTACCACTGGAGCTTTCTTTTGTAAATCTCCATCTCCTCTTGGAAGTATGAAGGTTTGATCAAGAGCATGTGATTTTTCCTTAGACTCGCCGTACTGACTTCCAAGGTATGTCTGTCGTAACATCTATGAGTCCCATATTCCTTCGTGTTTCTCTAGGACTTGTTGCCCCTTCCCTAAATTGGTAGTCAACTTGGGACATAGGAGGGGACCGAGTCTTTTAGAGACCCTTGGGTCATTGATCTTCGAGTTTACATGGATGGGATTGTCTCGACGTTGCTTTAGGAAATCTCGACAGTCGCGAAAGACGGCTTTCGATCCTTCCACTCCTTCAGTAAGGAGGTGTCTTCCTCCACTTCTCCTGCTTTGGGTCAAGCAACTGGGTTGAGAGAACTCTCATGTTGATCAATGTTCTGATGATTAGCTCACTCCTCATCAGGGATACCCATGTCGAATGAATGTGACCTTCCGTGTTGGGAGGCACCCAGATGATGGTTGATGTCCATTGGGGTAACGAGCTCGCGTGTTTGAGTACACCTAGTTTCATGGAACGTCTCAAAGAGCTTCTCATACTGCTCCTGGAGGACCTTATTCTTCATTGTTATCTTGTTCTGAGCTTCTAACTCATCGACTTTAGCTTGAAGATCAACCCTCTTTCCTTCCTTCTTTCGTTGCCTCGCACCAAGTGCAAGAGGGGTGTCATTCTGCGTGTTGTGGCTTCCTTCGCTCCCCATGTTGGAGAGGGATGCCTAGTCAAAAGAAAGTGTACGAATGGTGGAAACCAGCTTGACAAAGCTGAAGAGAGTGGGAATAAGTGTCGTTCCCACAGACGGCGCCAAATGTTGATGCACAAAATCAGTGAGGACTTTGGTACAACAGAAAGTGTTAAATTTGTGACCTTCGCTAGATTGCTCCGGTCACTAGTGTGGATAAGTATTTACATGGATAGAGATAGGGAAGCAAACACAAGATGTACGTGGTTCATCCAGATTGGCTACGTCCACGGAGTAGAGGAGTTCTCATTAATTGTGAAGGGCTTACACAAGTACATAGGTTCAAGCTCTCCTTTAGTGAGTACTAGTGAATGATTTAGTACAAATGACATTAGGAAATATTGTGAGAGAATGATCTCTATTTATAGAAGAGAGTTTCTAGTTTCATTCTGACATTGACATGTGTCGTGTTGTGATTGGCTTCTAATGTTGACACGTAACGCGCTATGATTGGCTTCTAATGTCAACATGTGTCGCGCTGTGATTGGCCTCCTAGTTGGAAGGAAACTCTTCTGGGTCCTTGAGGGCATAATGTTGACTGGTGCTCAGTAGTTTCGGGATTGGTCAAGTATGGTACAAACATACCTAAATATTTGTATCGAAATGTATGTACCGATATGTGTGTACCTAAATCTATGCACCGAAATGTATAATATTGAATTTAATATACCTAAATGAAGAAGACAATATACATTGAAATATACTGTATAACAAATATTAGTTTATCTAAATGTTTACAACAAAATATATTACGATAATGAAATGAAAATTAATACATTAAAATTAGGAAGAAAAAGAGAAATAATTAAAAAATCAAAATGTAATTAATAAAGGGAGTTTTAATGAAACACTTCCCGTATTGCTTACTTTTAACGAAAAATACATTTTTACTCTAAAAAGTCACTTCTGGTACAATTCACTTATAACACATTTTTGTCATTTTGATTAAACCTCAAAGTTTTTAAGTCATTTTCATTAATTTTCCTATTAATAAATGAGGTTATTAATGTATCAATGGACTAAAATTATATTTTGATCTTACTCATGGTTTTAGTCTAAAAGTCATATTTGCCAAGGATTAAAATGAAGTTTTCTATTTATTTTATGAGTAAATTGTACAAATGGTCCCTCAACTTTAATCAAATTGGAGCAATGGTCCCTCAACTAAAAATCCATTACCATTGGTCCCTCAACTTATCAAAATGTGTAGCTATAGTCCTTTTCATCAATTTTGTCAAAATTTTGTCAAAATAAGCTATGTTGGAATGACCATTTATATAATTCGGGTCCCTCAACTCATCAAAGTGTATAATTATGGTTTTTTTCGTCAACTATGTCAAAAAATTTGTCAAAACGAGTTATATTGTAAGGACCATTGCTACAATTGGATTAAAGTTAAAGGACCATTTCTCCACTTGAATTAAAGTTCAGGGACCAATGGTAATGGATTTTTAGTTGAGGGACCATAGCTGCACGTTTTGATAAGTTGAGGGACCAAAGGTAATGGATTTTTAGTTGAGGGACCATTGCTCCAATTGAGTTAAAGTTAAGGGACCATAACTACAATTTACTCTTATTTTATTTTTGGCCTAAATTGTACACTTATGGATTGAAGTACTTTTAAAATGATTGAAAACGCTTTTAGTAAAAGTGTTTTTGGGCTAAGTACATTTTGGAAAAAGCACCAATTATGTGAACAAAGTTGAGGTTCCACCATAAGAACTTGAAGTTCATTAGTTTTCCTTAAAATGAATTGGTAATATGAGAAGTGGCTCAATTTCTTATAAGCTTGCCCCTCATTTCCTCGATGTGGGGTTGATACTCTTGACATTATGTGCTTCTTGCAAGACACTTTTTAAGTGCTTATCCAAGATATTTCAAGTGCTAATTCAAAATTTACTTGCCTAGACATTATGTGCTTCTTGCAAGACACTTCAAGTACTTATCCAAGACACTTCAAGTGCTGATTCAGAATTACTTGCACTTTTACTAAAATAATTAGTTCCAAAAGCACTTTTGGTGAAAGTGTTTTTGGGTTCTAAAAGCACTTAAAGTGTATTTTGGTAGAGACACAAGTTATGTACTTCTTGTAGGACACTTCACGTGCTTATCCAGGATTCACTTTCATTTTTAATAAGCATTAGTTCCGAAAGCGCTTTCAGTCATTTTAAAAGCATTTCCAAACATGCCTAAAAACTACTTTAGGTCCAGATTCCAAATTTTGAAAAGCTTAAATATTTGGCTCCAAAATTTAGACCTCATACCTTCGAAATGGCCTTACAAGCATAACTAATATCTGTTGCATTCAGGTTTTTCCGTTGTTTAATGAATGGGCATTGGAACCAAATATATACGTTCTTGAATTTTTTCTAGAAGAGCTTCCCACCCGTAAGCATGAACCAGATAGAGAGCTCCAAAAGCTATTCAAGGACAAACTAAACGCCTAAATTATGAAGAAACCAATGCTTGAAATTAAACAAGCATCAGTTACCCCACATGAAGAAAGCAGAATTGGCACTGGGATTTATTAAAATGCATCCTTTTACATCACAAGTAGGGGTTCGCACAAGTAGTTGCATCAACCAATCAATGGCATCCTGCTGTACCTCCATTATATCAAACAATTCAAACTTATTGTTTATTCAAATATAAACAAGGGGATGATATTCTTGAATCTGTATTTGTTTTGTCCTAATATACATATCTTAAGATTCCTCTTTACTATACTCTTGAATCTGTATCTCAATTATATCCAACTGACCGACTTCTTCTGTCTGTATCATTTTCCTCTTTATTCTTTTCTTGGACTTTTTCTTCTTTTCTAAGAACAAAATGCCAAAACACACCACCATGTTTGAGAGCGATAGATTGACAATACTACTGGTGGTGATTAATATTTAGGCATTGCATATAGCCAAGCCGCACGTCAATACGTCCATTCTTGAGGCAGACCCATCTCCTTTTGGTTCGTGCACGGCACCGGCCGCGACTGATGTTTATTAGTTGAATGCATGTCTGCCCTACCACCCTTCAAATCATCTTAACCAAAAAAAGAAAAACAAGTTAGAGAGTAAGCCCAAAATTCATGAACAAACAAACTTACATATATATAGCAAAGTTTGTGCATATTTGTTTGAGATATTTTACGTGCGTTGTTATGTTATTGGATCGTCAATCTGAATCTTTTATTTAAATGACGATTCTGTTTAATTAACGACTTAGATTGACAAGATAACATACCACAAACTTATTCATGTAAAACCAAATAGTAATACAGATAGATGTTCGTTGATATATGTACCATTTTGTGTAGAGAAACCAGAAGCATTAGGTCGAGGTAGGTCGCCAACTCTGTCAAAGTGAACTTTCAAGGCGTGCACTACCTTTGCGGGTATAAGAACCGGGGAACATCCTATACGTTGACAATAAAAACAGCCGAAATTTTAGTTTAGAAAGATTGTGATAGTATTAGGTGATCAAATTGAAGTTCCACCATAAAATCAATTGGTAATATAGAGAGTATCCCAAGATCATATAAGCACATAGCAAACTTTGTCCCTCACCGATATAGGACAACTCTCAACATTAGGTTCTTCCAATAATTAAGCAGTTAATGACAATTTACAACATGATAATATAACATGTAACAATTTGAGAAGAACCCAATTCAATATTATAAAAAAATAAATAAATAAATAAATAAATCCCTTTTTGGGTGTTCTAATGATAAGGAGACGTTTCCGGATTAGTTGTTTTATTTATCTCTTAAACTCTACTTAAGAAATTAACAATAAACCAAAGAGAGATAGAGTTTGCCAAAAGACCATACCCCAATCAATTAGTGGACGATACATAAAGATTCCTTTTGTTTACCAAAAAAATAAGATTCCTTTTTACACCAGTCATTAGCTAAAACAAATTTGGCCACTACCTAATTTAGATTGGGAGCTAAAAGGAATCTTCAGAATAAATAACAGCTCAGCCCAATTTGGGATCGGGGACTAAAAGAATATAATTTAGAATAAAGTACTCCCAACTCGATTTGCTTCTTTTATGAGTTAGAAATTTAAATATATTTTGTACAGATAACGAGTTTGATGGGTGATAGATATAATAAATTTAAATTAAAATTGTCATTCATGAAATTTGATTTGATCATAAAACTATTCACTTACAAATAATAATTAAAAAAATCACAAAACATAATAGTAAGGGATAACTCAAATAGTTGTATTTAAGAAAGAGGAAAAGAACCTTTAATCTATGGACTAAAGAATCTTTAAATATCACAAAGCCTCTTCTCAATTTGAGACTGGGGACTAGAAAAGAATCTTTAATTTAGGATAAGGAAGCCTATTATAGATCCAAAGTCAAACACCGAAAGATGCAACACCGTAAGCAATCCGAATAATATCAATAGGAGATGGTTATCCAAATGCCTATTTTTACTTCTCGCATATTCTTAAATTTTTTTGCTATGAGATCGAATAAATTGAAAAAAGATCAATGACAAAAAATTTAAAAAATGTCTGTAGTAAAAATGAGTGTGTGAATAACACTATATTATCAATACATATCTTCTATGGGATAAGGTGATATTCCATTTCAACCCCAACCACTCCAACGACTAGGAAACCGCAAGAAGTTGCTCCCAAATAAATCAATCACATAATGCTAAAAACCCTCAAACTCTAAAGCGACACCAAATTGGCAAATCAAAGGTTTAACTAATTATATGTACCTCTTTTCTTGGGTGGCTGTGAAGTGTTACCAATAACACAAGGCAAAAATACTCCTGTCCCAGAAGATGACCCAATTTTCGTACTCGACCCGCCAAGGAAAACAGCCTTTACGCCCGGTCGTGCTTGCTGGTTCACCCATGGGTTTGAACCAGGCAATCCAAATTGTGTTGGAGACCTTGACCTTCCTCCATTAATAGACCCAATACAAGATCCTCCTTTCTTCAACTGCTGATAATTATTAGGCTCATATTGCTCATGGCAAATATTGGCTTGTCTTCCTCTATTCCCTGACGATCCTTGTTTCCTTGAAATGTGCTCTTGCTTTAGCTTATAATTACAGGCCTCAAGTTTCTGTCAAAGGTAAGACATATTTGGGTAGGGTGTATATGTATTTGTGAAGGAAGAAAATTACTTTGTTATTACTAAATCAGTAAGATATCAACGACAATGGATCATGTACAATAGATTGGCACCCGTTGCTAACTAATTAATCACTCTAGAAAACTTTTAAACGCAATAACAAGTGCACAATACATATATTATGTATAGGTATCCAGCACCAGCGAATCGCTCGAGAAACTTATTAACAGTAAAAAAACTACCCAAAATAAGTGGTTAATTATTACCTGAAAATCTTGGCTCTGACTGGAAGCTAGATCTTGCTTTGAGCAAAATCCAACACCTGGGTCTACTTTTGTACTTGCGTTTATTCCCTGAGGATGATGTGACCCTTCGTTGGTTGTAGTTGTATCTAACTTCTCCAACTTTCTTAAAACGTCGGCGTAGGTACACCTGTTCCAGGCTTTGTCTTTGCCTGGTGTTTCTGGTGGCGTTGGTTCAAGAGATGACCCTTCAGAGCTGCCATGGCTAGACCCCAACGGTGGCCACACTGAGTACTGTGGCCAACCAACATAACCCAATAACTGAAAAAGAAGAAAACTCAAATCAATTAACCACATAATATTGTCAACAATTTGTAGACAGGTGCCAATATCGCGCATATATATATATAAGTATTGATTTTTAATTATGTGTTTACCTCTTGGTTTTTCTGAGAGCTAGTAGTATTGGTTTTGTCGTGATCATCTTGAAGCATGTAGTTAGTCATCTGGCGAGTTAATTCTGCAACGTAATCGTCGTCCCCATCAGTAGTAGTCTCTGTCCACTGATCAGATGAAACAAGTTCAGAATCCTCAAGTGCTGAAGATGAAGAAGTTGAACTCAAATCTGATGAGCCAATAAGTCCTTTGTAATTATAGTTAGCAGCTGCTTCACGAATATCCCAGGCCTTGGTATCTGGTTTGGAGCACTCAAAATCCATCATGTTAATTAAGTACTAATCCACTTTTGTTTTAATTAATTAGCAGTAACGCTAATTAACTTGAACAAAAGATGATGGAGGAGAAGAACTGATCAGGTGGATTTTATTGGAGAAGAAAGATCAAAGATCAATGTAATTATATGATCAAAAAGCACCTCCAGAAAGCTAGAATAGGGGTCAAATTGTTTGCAAAGTGAGTTTGGGTGGGACCCGGAAGCTAATTAAGTGGGTCCAGTGTCACATTGTAGCTGAATGACTTGTTTGGTGTGTTGTGTTTTATAAGAGTTAGGGTTTGGTAGTTGGACTGTTTGCCCAGCTGTGCTATACATCCTACTTCCATTCGTTACATATATTTTGCGGTGGCCTATATCCACCGAATCCACCATAAACCTAAATATCTTTAGTTATTGTGTGCTTATCATATTGCATATTCAAGTTCAGAATTTCTTCACTGTAATTTCGATAAATTAGTATAGAATACTGATCTAACCACATAATATTGTTATTATGAAATTTCTTACTTATCCATTACACATAACTATATAAATAATTTGGCAAACAATTTTTCTAATAATTCTTTTAATACGAATTTGCTTAGCGATACTGTTATCATGTTCTTATTCAGTGAACTGTTTCTTGACATTTCTTCCTTCAAAGTGATAATATCTGAAACGGATTCTCAGTGTATTTATTAACGTTGTTAGAAGTGGTTAGGGTTGGTCTTTCATTACCACCAATATATATGGTTGAGGGTTGATGTGGGTTCAGTGTTGACTGGTTCTATTATTTGGCCACCGCACCATTTCTTTTCATTGTTTTTTCCTGTGTTTTCTTCCAATTTTTCTTCTGTTGCCTGCGACGCGCACGACAAGTACGGTTCAACAATTGCATGGAACGAGAAAGGCATAGCGAATTTGGGTAGCTTGACCTTATGATTTATAAATTTAGCCCACTTCTGCTGCCTACATGAATCCGTACTTTCTAATCTTTATAATTGGCGATTATTCAATAATCCATTAGGTCATGGCTCACACTACTAAAACTTTTAGGCCCTGTTTGGCAGATCGGATAGAGGATCGGATAGGACTAATTATACGGACGCGGGTGTTTGGCGTTCACTCGTACTAAATAAGCGCCGGATTAAATTAACCGGTGTGCTTATTTAGTACGGTATACACCGGACTAATAAAACCAACCAAAAGGCCCGGATTATTAGTCGGCCCTCTCTCTCTCTCGCCTTCTCTCGGCCTTCTCTCTCTCTCTCTCTCTCTCTCTCTCTAGGCGTCGTTGTCCTCCCCCCCCCCCCCGTCACCTTCTCTCACCATCGTCGTCCTCCCCGTTGACGTCGTCGTCCTCCGCTGCAACTGGGTCTTGCAAAGAAGCATGCATTCTCTTGCCCGGCATGGTGTCTGGGAAACCTCTCTTCTCAAAACGCCAACAAACTACTCTCCTTCTCTCTGTCAAACCGCCGCCAGTCCATTCCACTTGCGATGCTGCAGTGCAGGAGGTAACCTTGTCAACAAATCGTTAGTTTGTTTCGTTTGTTGCATCTTGATTTGGGTTGATGTGGATCTGATGACTCATGGTTGCTGATAGGATTTTTACTGCTTATGTGAATGCGATAAAAACCTCCTATTTTCTGGAATTACTCCAAAATTCGTCCATTTGATCCTGTTTTGCTCCAGAGGAAGTCGAAAGTCCTATATTGAAAATACAATTCAAAGTATCCAAATTCTTCCAAAATATTAACCAAAATATACTAAGATTAGGGTAAAATATATAATATAAAATATACTCATCAGTTGCTCACCAAATGTGCAGGCAGGCGGGGAAGAAGAAGGGAGAGAGAGGGAGGGCGTTTGAGGGGTTCGGCGGAGAGAACAGGGAAGAAGAAGGGATGGTTTCAGATTTTATTTTTATTTTTATAAGTTTAATTTAATTTTAAGTTTGATTTAGCCTATCCGGTATAAAACCAAACACAGTATAAATAATATGGTCATTAATCCGATACTGCACCAAACGCCCGACTAATTTAGTCAGTACTATCCGGTGGCTATTTATCATATCCGACAGAAATAGTCAGTACAGTCCGAGCTGCCAAACGAGGCGGTATATTGTATCAATTGAAGCCTTTTTATATAATTAAGTAGATCCAGCTACCAAGGTAGCCTGCCCAACCCGATAACTTTCATTGTTGGGCTCTCTCATGGTCAAAGCCTAAAGTTTTCATTGCCATTGGTGTTGTAGGAGTTTTGAGTCTCCTGTTGTCCCATCGGGAAACAACAATTTTTCAAAGGCCTTTATATAGGTCTAGTACTTTTTACTAGTAGTTTGGATTTGGACCAATTGAAATGAGGATTGAGGTTTGGATCACTAATTGTGTGACTAAGCTTGATAATTATACAATAATATTAATATAAATTAGGGAACTTTAATGAAAAGGGATTGGGCCAACAAATATTTAACCAAAAATCATCCTAAAATGTAATTTAACTAAAAGGGCTCAAAGTTTAATAAAAAAAAATCATCTAAAACTGTTGTCTACCTTTTTTTGTGCCCTTATCCTCCTCTTTCTCGTCATCATCCTTATCCTCACCCTCTTATCTGCACCACGAACAATTTATAGTGTTAGTATTTTATTCCAATCAGATCCAATAAGGACCTACGGTCCCGTTGATGTACGTACATGTTAGGCGTCTATAAATAGCTGAGATTCATAACCTTAACTTAGGTCTTTATCTTAGGTTCTTGTAATATAGGCTTAGGCATTAGGCATTCTTTCATCCAGGAAATGTACAACTGTAATATAGGCTTACCAAATCAAGGTTGAAAAAGGAAGCATTCATCGGAACAAAGTCGTCGAAACAAGTTCACAGAAGTTTAATGGCAGAAACCGGTGAAAAAGTGTCTGGAAAAAAAAAAGAACCAAAACATAACACTGTTTCTGGAAAAAGAAAAAAAAATCAGATGCAGTGTTTGTTTTGTCTGTGCACAAACAAACACTGTATCTGGAAAGACAAGAACCAAATTCCAGAAACAGTGACTTAAATTTCAAAAACAGTGACCTAGATTCAAGAAACAGTCTATGTTTTAACCTTTAATTGTTTCTTTTTTTTCATGCATCAGTTGATTATATTTAAGAAATAAGATGCTTATTTTGCTTTGAATCCAAATACAATGAATTTCACTATTTCTTTTCTAGCTTACAATTAAGAAACAGTGTGTCTATTTCATTTGGATTCAGAAACAGTGACTTAGATTTCAGAAACAGTAACTTGGATTCTAGAAACAGTAACTTAGATTCCAAAAACAGTGACTTAGATTCCATAAACAATGTTAATTAAAATCCAGAAACTGTTTATTTTTACCGTCCAGAAACAGTGATACGTAGTTATTATTCAATAACAGATCTCAAATTTATTTTCTGGAGAAACAAACGATGAACTCCACTAACAAAGAAAAATTGAAAAACAGTACCTCGAATACGTTATGAATAATAACAACGATTACATTTCAACGAAATAATACAAAATATAAATAAAATAGCATGATGATCTATATTTTTGTTTCAAAGAAAAAGAAGAAGGTCTGCAAAACAATGATGAACTCCATTAACGACGAAAATCTGGAACTCAACTTAAAAAAGTTAGGTGTAAAATCGACAAATCATAATTTATTATAGTTAGGCCATTTTTAGTTGGACTACTTTAATATGGGCCTTATACTAATCATTAAACAAAACTTATAACATGGTTTTTTATTAAAACTAAAATTTTTCAAGCATTTTTCATTAGTTTTCCTTGTAAATTAATATCCCTTAGGGCACTTGGGGCCTAAGAATTAAAATTAATCTGATCAATTAGTTTTAATTTTGAATTAAGTTTTTAATTAAATTAATTAAAAACATTTTGATTAATAGACACAACTCTTTGGAAAGAGTTGTATAAGGCTGGAAAAAAAAACCCCAAAAATCCCAAACCAAAATTCCTGAAATTTTCGGTATGGGATTCGGTTTTGCATCTCCATTTTTTCGGTATTCCCATACCGAACCGAAAAAAATATTATATATATATATATATTATTTTTTAATTATAAGAGAATTATTTCAACCGTTCATTGTTTTGGATTTAATCTATGTCGTTCATTTGTTTTTAGGTCAGATCCCATTCAAATTTCACTTCTGTTCATTTGTTTCCATCCATCGAACTCGAAGCGCAGCCCTCCCTCACCGAGCCCTCATCTCTCATATGACTGTCTGTGTCGAATTTCGACCAACCACCGGCCTACCACCACACCATACTATCGTCTCTGACTCTCCAACCTTCCTTCACCACACAGCCACCGCTCTCTCTTGCAATCTCTCTCACCACCACACCGAGTCCGAGTCTCACTCTCACCCCAAATTAGGTAATTAATTTAGTGTTTTGAAATCTAATTTCTATCTTCCTTTGAAATTTAATTTAGGGTTTGGAATCTAATTTCAATCTTGAATCTTCCCTTACTGGTCTCATATGTTTATATACATCAATTGTTTGAAAAAAGTGAATGTTTTTTATGCGCTGCATCTTTGCATTTCCATCAATGATTAACTTATGCAGGTGACAGAGAGCCTCCATATTCGTTCTGTATTCTTGTTGGTGCAACCGTGCAAGTAGTGATTTAGCTTTCATTTTGTAGGGATGTTCAAGCAAACAGTATACTTCTTGATGATAAATTTGAAGTGCGGCTAGGGAGCCTGAGTGATATCTGTCCTCAAGAAGGGGACACTCATCCAAGCAGGATTACCAGGTTGATGCGGCTGCCACAGTAAGTGTCGTGTGAATAATTGTAATTTGTATCTAATCACTTGTCTCTTTCCGAGCTGTGACTATTCCTGGATATACATTGTCTATGAATTATAGTCAATTTTCTTACATATAAATCATAAAGTGAAGCCAGAGCAACAAGGTCGTAATTAGTTTATTTGGGAATTGAATTGACTTATGTTGACCTGTTTTGGTTTTGGGATTTAGTCATAAATTGAGGGAGGGCATGTAAAGGGTGTGCCTACTGTATCTTTAGAATGTCGAATTCAAAGATTACAAGAATAATTAGGTTTGATCTCACATTTGTCCCTTAAATTTTTTAGGTTTTTATGGTTTGAGTCTTAGAATTTTTCTTGTGTCAAATTAGTCCTAAAATCTCTCTCAAGGGAGTATAGAATTGAACTTATAATGTCGAGTAAAAGACTAAATATTC